AGCATGCTGATATTAGGCTACATTAAACTGTTCAAAGTACACCAAATAATTAGTAGTTATGAACTATGAATACATATGTAATTATTATATTTGATATATTTACACAGGGACGGAACCAGAAATTTATCAAGGGGGGGGGAGGGAAATCAAAATGTATCCAACAGATACTATTCATACTTAATAACATACTTTTTAATATCATTATTTTGAATTTATTTTTTAAAACTGGTATCAATGACAACAATTATATACTTAAAAAAACAACAAATTTTATAGATATGGTACACTAAAAATAAAAAAAATTCAAAATAATGAAAATACACATTTAAAATTAAAAATAGAATAAGGTTACATCATTTACATTTTACATTGTACACAATAGTATATAATATGTCAATAAAATAATAATAAAAATAAAATATTAAATTAAAATTTAAAGAATTAAGTCAAGCTTTCTATTTTTATTCTTGGCAATTTTCTAGAATAATAAGCTCAAGAGGGGGCATTTACCCTATTCCCCCCCCCCCCCGGATCCGCCTCTTATGTACATCATCTCAATGTACTTACTGCTTTATGTACAGTAGATCTCAATGCAATGAATACTAAAATAAAACATAATTATTTAAAATAAATTATACACAGTCTATTAATCATGATATTAGATTAGATAGTTTTCTAATATTATTCGTATTTTCTACAAAACTTGTTGGTAACAATTAAACTGAATAATGAAATAATATAACATTTTATATACATCTTACTGACCTACACTCGTTACCAAATATTGTGATCGATTTCCTAATAATATGTTATAAATTTAAATGTGGTACATATAGAAACATTAATTTTGACCGTATTAATTTATTTGAAGGTCTTTCATGCATTTTTTTTCAATTTTCCTCGGATATACGTATATAATTTTTTGCGTAAAACATGAACATGAATGGATACAAATGTACGTGTGCAGAAAGAGAAGAAAAAATAAAAATACCACTTAGTACACTCTCGTTCTGTCCTTCGATTATATTGAGTAAATAATCATGACAGACATATAGTATTTATACTTAATAAAATGTACATTTAAATACACATTTATATCCATGTATATAAATTAGGCAAACGCTATTTAATCACAAATTTGAAGTCTCACCAATTATAAACTCACTAAGATTATACTTTACTAATAAATTTCGATTTTTCAATTTTAAGGACACGTTACATTAATATTTAATTGGTACATTTTTAATTAAATAATAAGTACCTACAAAAGGAGGTAAATTTTAATAATATAATAATTATATATATATATATATATATATATATATAATTAAACAAGTATACATAACATATTAATAGATGTTTTTCTAATGAATTAAATTAAAACTACAGAATAATAATAAAACATATTAATAATTATTTATTGAAAAATTAAGCTAGAAAAAAATGCTTATTCGATAAATTCATGCGAAAACTTATTTTATGGATACTTATTGAAACCACATGATTATAATACGGTAGATAATTACACAGAATAAATGTTCTTAAAATTGTTTAACTATATACATTAACAAGACAATTTATAGTGGACATATTGGACCGTTGATCCTACAAATATTAAATATCGTCATTATTGTAGCTATATTATATGTAATTTCTAAGAAAAACCATTACACCCAACGTATAATTCATTAATAACATTTTTTTTTTTTTTTTAATGTATGCCATTAAATTTTTTATTATATAAATGCTAATCATTTATATTTGAATGCTTACAATTTTTAACTTGTTAATTGTGTATGATAAATCTTCTACTCAGGTGTATGATACAAGGCATAAAATATAATGCCCATGTAATATTCATGTTTATTCAAATGTGTATTATAAATTTATAAACTACTATATTCAAAAACTGATTAAATTGAGTTCAACTCTTTGATCTTAGGTTATGTTAAAGTAAATCAAATTCATAATAAAGGTTAAGATATGCATATTCATTAAATTAACATTTCCACCTTTAGTAATCTAGTTAAACTGCTTGTACAACTGTCAAATAATTGTAATACAAATATCAACATGAAAACATATTATTTTTAGGTACCATATACTTAGTACATAGGTATATTTATCAGTGGCGTATTAATTGGGAAGGGGTGCTGGGGGGTTCCCTCCAGAGACTTTCCAGTCCTTAAATTTTAAAATTTCAATCAATTTGAAGTTAGTTAATTTTGTAAATTTAAATAAAGGAAAAATTTTAAAATTTATAAATTTTATTAATTTTATAAAACTTTATTTTATAAAAACTAATAAAACCCGGGTACGATAATATTGGTGTTTTTGACTGGGCTAGTCGAAACACATTATAAACTTCACAGACTAATCTCTATTGCTCTAGCTTACAGTTCGCAGAAAGTTATTGTCTACTAATTGTGGAGATATTTGGATGAAAATCGCATTTCGTTTCAGAAGAGACTTAATGGCCTTGCCATATTATCATTTCATCCAGATTTAAATACTACATTAAATATATTAAATATTATATTATGGAGTTATTGATGAATTGGCAAATAAAATAAGGAAGCTAGAGTTTATCATATAGTTTATAATTAATGAAATTAAATTTTTCAATAAAAAGATAATAAGACGGATACAAATTTAATTTTGATTATTTTATACTGATTTATAAAAAAAAAAAATTAGGATGACAACCCTCCCAAAAAAAAAAAAAAAAAAAATTGTAAATACGCCACTAATATTTATCATTATTTTACAGTGTAGAATGTGTGTAATATTCATTGAGATCTTTAAAATGTAAAAATAAAAATTATTTTTTTATAAATTACTAGATAAAAAGTTAAATTGATATAAGCTTATAACGCCATAATTACCACGAAATAAAAGTTAATGTATACCAGGAATAAGCATTTAAAAGTAACTAGAGGGCCAATTCATGTAATTTCAAAATCTGGCGAGCTAGAGTAAAGAAAGCAAAAATAAAAAAAAGGTCATTAAAATAGCAACTAACATTTATTTTATATAATTGAATTGTACGACAGAACCAATAGAATAAATTAAGTATCTAATACCTATAGTTATGTAATCTATGCCAATATGAATATATATTTAGAATTTTAATAATTTAGATGCAGTTCAATATTTGAGAAAAATAATAAATAATTATATTTAAATTTTACAATCAACGTGATAAAATGAAATACCGATAAACACTAAGATGTTACAAAGTAATTTGAAAATGTAGCATGGGTCAGATAAAAAAAATACGCGGGTCTCCAGTTGCCCATTCCTAATACCATTGATTATAAATACTAGTATTTATAATCAATACTAATACATATGTTACCATCATTCTATCCTGTTCACGTAATGGGAATATGTACCATATGTATATTTTTATTTATTAATATTTATTGTTTAAATATAAGCATTTTATTTAAACTTTTGAACTTTTTAATGTTCATCAATATTAATTGACATAATAAATTAAAGTACCAAATTCAAATGAAAAAGAATTACCTATAATAATTATAGTATAAATATGTGTTTATATAAAATTGTTCAAGGGTGGATTCAAGGTTGAAATGAAGATTTAATAAAAACTTTATTATCTACAATTTTTTATAAAAATCAATCAAAAGATGCTTAAAACTAAGGTAAATCTACTTTTTAATCTCCAGTAGTTATAATTGATGTAGACCCTGGAAATTAGCTAATCCAACTTGGTCATGCTATACGTATCGATACAATGAAAAGCGGACCTTGTAAAGTAAATATGTAATCTGGTAGGCGTAACAAATTCATAAAAATTTATTTATTTTAACAATTTTATTTAAACCAATATCAAGGGGTTCTAGTACTAGCCAAACTATGTGCCAATAGTAATTTTATGTATTTTGTACGAGTGTCTAAGAAGAATACTCTTTCATATAAAAAATACATTTCGCACCAGGATCCGCAAACCTTTGAACTAACACTATGTCTTCTTCATATTCACATCTACAGATTTCGAGAGTATTTATTGAATTTAATTTAAAATCTTTTAAAGGTATATTTTTTTCGAAAAGTTCTGGATAATTTTATTATTTTTTGAATTATCATGAGTATGTCGTTTAAAAATTATGTAAGTGTGGTCGTTGGTATATGCCAAGTGGAAAATTTGTGACAAACACATGCCAACAGAAATCGCTCGAACATCGGTTTACTTCAAAGATAGCCGATGAAAACAAATAGTGTGTACGTTCCAACAGCCTGGCCATATGTGGTTCTAGTTGTGATTTGACTGCCGTTAAAATCACTACTTTTTATTTGAAAAAAGTGTTGGAAACCACATACCGATCTGTATTCGAGATTTAATTTGTTCAATATTAAACTCTTGTTCAATATCGTTCTCAACTTCGAAGACTTGGACGTACCTAAAATCGTCATTTTCTTTGTTCACGAATTTTTTCTTCGCCCTCATTAATAATAAAAGCACATGAGGCGATTAGTATGTCGCCTTCAGAATGTATATGAAAATAATTTACAAAACGGAAAACTTATCAAACAAACGTAATATCATATAAACGGCATATAAATGACTAAATGTCAACACCTAAGTAGCCGTGCCAAATGGCATTTAGCAGCACAGTATGAACACAGTTTTAAAAATAGTTTTGTAGTTAGTGACTGGTATGAGAGGAAATTAACTTTAGTTGGTATATTATCCAAATTGTTCAACGATATTTTAATAATTCGTTCGACAGTATTTTAGTGTTTGAAAGTTAAAAAAATGTATTATTATTATAGTATATTGTGTTCAGTATACGCCCGAATATATGTAACGAATTTGATGTATTTTGTAATAAAATTGTTCGTTAAAAATATTTGCGGTCGAGTGCAATTCGAAAAATGGCGGTAATTTAGGAATAATGTATAACCTCCAAAACAATGAATATGCACACAGCTGATAACAATTGGCGCCAAAATATGGACATGTAAACTATTTATTTTTTTTTGTCCACACCGCGTACCACACCGAACCATTAGACCGTAACAAGTCGTGTTTTATTGCGTTCTTCAGTATTTCCAAGCAAACGAATAAATTAATTTACACATTGCAGTTCTTTAATATCAATTCCGCCATGGGTATTACTGGTTTAGCCAAACTTATCGCAGACATAGCGCCCAATGCCATCAAAGAAAATGAAATAAAAAATCATTTCGGTAAGTAGTAGTTAATATGAACTAGAGTATGTGAATATACTATATTTAATATGAATGTTTATTGTTAAACACTTTTTCACTTGTATTAATTTACAGGACGAAAAATTGCGATTGATGCTTCGATGAGTCTTTACCAGTTTTTGATTGCAGTTCGCAGTGAAGGAGCACAGCTGACTAGCGCTGATGGAGAAACAACTAGGTACTTTTATTTTATTAAACATTATTACTAAAATAAATAAATTAAATACATATTATTATTTTTCCAGTCATATTATGGGTACTTTTTATCGTACTATAAGACTTTTAGATAATGGTATAAAGCCAGTGTATGTATTTGATGGTAAACCGCCAAAAATGAAATCTTCAGAATTAGAAAAAAGAGCGGACAAAAGGCAAGAAGCACAAAAAGCATTAGAAAAAGCAGAAGAACTCGGTATAACTTAATTGCTTTTAGTTATAAAGTATTTCTCTTGCAGTATTCAATCTAATGATTAGTTTGCAGCAACTTCTTTGTTTTTTTATCACTAATCTTCCTCTTCAACTCTTGATAGAGTTCTATACTTGATTTTTTTATTATTTGACTTATGTATTGGTATTTGACCAATCTTGGTCTTCCTCTGTGATTTTTCCATCGATTACTCCTAAGATTAGTAATATCAATATATATTCTGTCTTAAAATATGACCTATTAATTAATTTTGCCTTTTCTGTGTATTCTTCAATATTGATTTCCTCTTAAATTATTTATATTAAATTAAATTAAATTTTTCATGTTCTAGGTAATACTACTGAAATTGATAAATTCAGTAAAAGACTTGTAAAAGTGACATCTACTCATACAAATGAATGCAAAGAATTATTAAAATTAATGGGAGTTCCTTATGTTGAGGTATGTGTTTTGTTTATTTTTGATAATTTAACTGATGTGCTTCAAACTTTATATTATTCATTATGATTTTAATTTCCTATTATTTTTTAAACAAATATTCTAATATATTTTTAATCATATATATAATTTATTTTTTTTTATAAATTAAAATAATATATTTATATGATTTATTAGGCTCCGTGTGAAGCTGAAGCTCAGTGTGCTGCAATGGTAAAAGCTGGTATAGTATATGCTACTGCTACTGAGGATATGGATGCTTTGACATTTGGTTCACCAGTCTTATTGCGTCACATGACATTCAGTGAAGCCAGAAAAATGCCAATTCAAGAGTTTCAACTAGACACAGTATTGGAATCAATAGAAATGACTAAAAATGAAGTAATTTAATTTAAAACATTTATTTTGGTAATATTATCTAAATGTTTCATATTTTAGTTTATAGATCTCTGTATACTGTTAGGATGCGATTATTGTAACAGTATTAAAGGTATTGGACCCAAAAAAGCTATTGAATTGATTCGACAATATAGATCATTAGAAAATATACTGGAGAATTTAGATACCAAAAAGTATCAAGTTCCAGAAGATTGGCCATTTAAGGAAGCTAGGCGATTATTTATAGAACCAGAAATCACGGAACCTTCAACTTTAGAAGTAATAATTTTTTAAATACTTATATATATTGTATTTTTAATTGCTAAAATTCTGTTAACTCAAATTATGAAATATGTTATACAATGTAAATATAAGATTCTTAATGGACCATGCCATCCTATTATGATCAGATTTTGATAAAATGTATAAATAATACTAAATTAAATTAATGAATAAATATAGTAGAAACAATAACCAACCAAAGAAGAACTTTTTATTCAAGAATAATTTATAATTATGTATTGGTTATAAAATAAAATTATATTAAAATATTTAAAGTATATTGAATATTGATCATAAGATTTTGTAGAAATTCATTGACCGAGTGATCATAGGCGTAATTAGAGTAAACATTTTGGGGGTGGCTTCTGCCCCTTCCATATAATTTCAATATAAAATGGAATATAATTTTTGAATCACCTGCGAACAAAGATAAATATCTCAAGTTAGATAAATTCAAGAAGGTAAATGTATTGTATTTTAGCACCTTGAAGCCAGTCAAACCTTAAACTCATTACACATTGTACATTTTTAAGATTTATTTTATTTAATTATTTTCTATCGTATATTGAATTCTTAATTATGTATTTATTAATTTATTAATTGTATATTTATGTAATACAAGGGAAATTTAAAACCATGGAGTAATATTCTTTTATCTCTATGGTTATTATCAAAAACAACTTGCATTGCCAATGCTTATTTTATGTCATGTTATAAGATATGTTGTAGGTAGAATTAAGTATTTATGTATTTTTATTTTAATATGTTATAGTTAAAATGGGTAGATCCAGATGAAGAAGGGCTTGTAAAATTTTTGTGTGGTAATAGAGGGTTCAGTGAAGAAAGGGTAAGAAATGGAGCTAAGAAACTATTAAAATCACGATCTGGTACAACTCAAGGCAGATTGGATTCATTTTTCTCAATTTCTTCTACACCAAACAAACGTAAAGTAAGTTGAATTTAGAGAATAAATCTCAAATAATTATTATTTCACAGTTTTAAAATGATTTTTTTTCTTATAAAGTTTTGAAATGTTGATATTATTATTTTTTATTATAAATAAATAATTCTCTATTTAAGGAAGAATTTATAAATTTAATTAAATTGTTAAATGGTTAAAAAGTATTGATGAAAAAAATTATACTCAGAATTCAACTATAACTAATTTGTTATTAATTTGTTAGTTGTTTCCTGTTGATGTATTATTGTTTAGTGTTTCTTATAAAACAATAAAATCTATAATTAGTTTTTCAATTATGTTTTAAATGATCTTGACTAAAAGTTTTGTTATGTTTAAAACAATTATTATGTAAATTATATAATAAACTCAAAATTAGTTTACGTTTTAAATTATAAATTATCATTCTGACTAATATATAATTTAAACGGCACATTTTTTGCTTTCATTTTTAAATAAGATTTTGAATATATATATGATCTGTCTGAGATAATCATTTATAAATCAAGTTTGTAAATATTTATTTAATATTTTAATGTTTTAGTTTAAAATCACAAAAATTTAAATAAACATTATTAAGAGTAATAAAATTTTATTTTTTAGGTTGAAGAAGCAAAATCAGCAGCAAATGCCAACAAAAAATCAAAAAAGGGAAATACTGCTAGACGTGGTCGACCCAAATAAGCCGATATAATTCTTTTTTGTAATTTAAAATTTATCAAAAATATGATAAACAATATTTTTTTCCTTTAAGGCTTAAATTATCTGTATATTTTAGTAATGATATTTGTGTTAATTACTTTTATTTGTAAAATATTTTTTTGGCAATACAACAAAACATTTTTTTTATTATTGTATACTAGTTAATTGCATTTTGCATTAATCTACTTAAATTTATGGATACTATTTGCAATTTTACCTTTTACTTTTAGCGTACAACATAATGTAAATATAATAAACAAGTATTAAAATTACAAATTTGCAGAAATATTTAACATTGCAATCAGTGTATGTCTGAAATATTAGGATTTTATTTTTTTTAAATGTATACATCCATATCAAATAAAGAATTGTCATCTGTAATGAATTACTAATTACATTCAAGTAACCTGAAAAATTCAGATTTTGGTATTTACAGAACAATGTTCAAGTACATTAATAATAAATGATAAGTTAATATGGAAATTATGTAAACCTAATATTATATCATTGACCAGGGGTCGCTAATTAATATTTTTGGAGAGCCACATTAGGTATTTTGAAAATAATCATAGGTCATCAAAATTCAAACTAAATATTTTTAACATATTAAAATGTAAAAAAAATGTTTGGTAAATGATATATATATATATGTATATATTAAGTCTCGTAATGACGTGTTATATTAAAAACATTAAAGAACAGCTACGCTTAGTGGTATATCTAACAAGCCGACAAGGCCCTGAGCGGTCTGTTAAAGAAAGAATATAATTTCATCTACTTGAGCAAAAACTATTAGTTTCAAATTCAACTGTTCTTTTTTTTTGTCCATAATCATATAAAAAAAAAAAAAACAGGAACATAAATTAAAATGTAACACAACTGGGAGTCATATCAACGCGGGTCGACGATAATTGACGAACTACCGTTGACGTATAATTGGTACGTTCCGTAGACGATGTTAACCCTTTCAAATTTTAAAATATGCTTGGCAACAAGTATAATATCCGTTTCCGCCGGTAAAAAGCCAATGTATGTTATTATCGATATTTACTTTTTTTTCTTGTCTGCGGACCAGATAAAATTTGTCCACAGACGGCCATTAAACGACCGCTGTCATGGATTGAACGCCAAGAACTTTACTTATCATCACGATTTGTAATAGATCTTAATTCATGCTTATCATGGTTTTCAGTATCAAATTACATGTATTTACTTCAACCTAAAAAGTAAAACATGATAACCTTATCACTATCAGTTGGAAAAAGTTCTAATTCCAATTCAAGTATTTGACAACAGTATTTCTGTTCATTCGGTGTTCGAATGTAACAAGAAATAAATATGTAAATAAATGTAACTATTATTTTTACTAGTCTTACGTTCATCATCAGATTTACATTGTTCTATGTTTCTAATATCTCTCTTACGGTCGCATTAACTTATTGAAATCTACTCCATACTTTGTGGATCATAACTCATAATTGAATCTCGGCTTTTTGTGACTCAAGTGTGACAAAGACGTTCTGCTAAACATCGGTAATCTCTTACACGTTTCTAATGGTATGTACCTAATTATTTGCATATCAACGATTTGATCTCTGCTTATTGTTTGATTTGAATCGATGGGTATTTAAAAACGGCCATTGCACATTTCCTTGTCCTTGGCTAAATTTTTGTGTGTGTGTATTGCTATATTATGCTTGTGTTATAGTCATTGTAGTTGTACACTGGAGGGGATCTGTACTGACCCTCAACTCATAATATGAGATAGACTGCTTTGAATACATAACATTCTATTCTAGTCAATGATTCATGTTTGGATGCTCAGCATGTAAGTACTCATTGAGGAAATTATATAATTGATATTGTTTTGTTTTTTCGTTCTTTTTTGCGGTATTTTTCAAAGGTTTGATCTATCAGTCATTCATATTTGCTCACACAACACATTCTATAGTTGATGAATGATGATCAATTTGGATTTCTTAAAACCTAAAATTATATCCCTTTCTTTATTTATTGTTTTTTACTAAATGATCTGTAAAAATAGTAATAATGAACTTTGGTTTTCTATATTATTTTCATTATTATTAACACTGAGGAGAATACTGCACTGAAGTTATACCATATGTTAAGCATCATATGAAAATTGTTTCTCGTTTTAATAGTACCTATGTTTTTAACTATTATTTATAATCATTTTGGTCGATTTTAAATTTTAGATTTTATGAGTTTCATTAATTATGATTTATCATTAATATTTAGGTCATTAAATCTTAATATTGTTTACTTGTTATATACATTCCTGTTTGAATAAGCCTTAGAAACATCTATGATTTTCAATTATAATTTTAAAACAATTATGAACAAGTTCAGTTTACTATATTATTTATACTTTTTTTCATATGAGCTTATACATTATTCTATATTTTTTTAAATATATTCAGATTTTATTAAACCATTCCCATTTAAAATACATTAGGTTTACATTAATGTATAAAATTACTACTTGTGAAATGAAATATTTTATACAATTTAAAAGTAGTTGCATTTTTCAAATATTGTTTTTACTCATTTAGACTTCAATGCTTAATTAAGAATATATTTAATCATAGAAATGTATATTGAAAATCATTAAAGTTCAGTGTATAATAAGTTATATTACAATTTCTTATTAATATTATTGCTTTTCCTCAATTTTAAAATTACAATAAAATTATTATTGTTCAGTTAGTCTAGAGTAATTATTCCATAATCCATATTCCATCTAATTTTCTATTCAATAAAGATAATACAACTACTTAACTTTTGAAACATTTGTTTAATCAAAATTAAAATATGTATAAATATAATAAATCTATGGAATAATTTAAATATTATATTTTTAGTGTTCCTATTCTTATATAACTAGTCAATGAATGATTTAAGATTAGATCTGTTTTAAAAATTATATTTTTATGCATGAATATACTTTTATATAATTTGCTTATTATGCAAATAGTAAATAGTAAATAATATTGTAGTGTATTTTTGTCAGTTAATACTTTGCTATGAATCACTAAGTTAATATATACTTATTTAAAGTATTTACTTTTATGTATACCATAAAATAATGTTTGTTTATTTAGCTATTTGTATAATATAACTAATAAAACTATTTAAATATTTATATAAATTACTAGTTAAAAAAAACACCTTGATCATAAAAATAAAACAATTTTGTAAGTTCTTGATTGTCCATAGTCTAGTTACATATGAAATTTGAGTTTTTTTCTAATCCATATTCATGCTTTTGATAACATGAAATTTATATTTATAGTTTATAAAATAAATTGTATAAAATGCATACATTTTCGGCTTGATTTTTTTAATTTCAATTATTGTATTTGTCATTAGTATTTATGTTTTATTGAATGATATGTATTATTAAAATTATTTAATCTATTCAGTAAAAAAATATTTTATATTTATTTAGAGCATATTATACATATTTTATTTGTAGATAGTGCTGTAGTAAATCAATCCTTGATTACATGCTAAATCATTAATTACTTTTATGCAAGTGATGTATAATATATGGATATTTTTCTTCTTTACTGGGTAATCAAATACTAACTTTGAACTTATTATATTAAGGTTTTAATTTATTATTGTAAATAATAAAAATCTAAATTTAATTTTTCTTTTTAATAAACATCATAATTTAAACTACCAACTATATTAACAAACCATATTTTCTACAATTATTTTTTTTTTGGTAATCAAATTCTGTTGATTTGAAGAAAAAAAAAATTTAATAATTTTTTATACAAACCTTATATAGAATCTAATCACAAAAAAAAATTAGTTTAGAACAGGCAGCTCAAGGAACAAGTCAAGCTTAGTTTACCAAATATGTTTTCTTAAATTTAATATAAAATCAATTTTTAGAAATCAAGATTTAGTTACTTTATATTTTTATTTTTATTTAAAAATAAAAATCAATACAAAATCTGTGTGTATTTATACTGAAATATTTTAAATTACTACTCTATTACATGCATTTGGAAATAAATTCTCTATTTAATCATTTAATCCATTAATAAATTGTTATATTGTATTACATTGCACAATTTTTATATAAAATATGAGTATACTAACAATTTTTAAATATAAAATAGTAAATATTTAGAAAATTTGCTTTATAATTTTAAATGTAAGTATAACTTTTTATTCTGGTCATAGATGAGTGATTCAGAAGACGAAACCGCCTCGATGGAGACCACGAGGATGTATAAAGATGACCTAGAGTTATCTCGAATGTCTTTATATCTTAGTTCCCAAGATCTGATTAATAATTCTCCAGGAGCTGTTCAACATATAAGGGTATTTATATTGAATACAAATATTATAATAGAACATTAACTATTTATTAAATTCCTATTGTCAGCCTGAAAGCATCACATTTGATTCGACTCCAGGAGATATATCTGTTGATTTCGTACTTGTTTCATCATCCAAAGCTAAAGCACCTGTAGATATTGATGGTTGGAATCGCAGATCTGCATTTGAAGAAAGAATAAAAGAACAAGGTTTACTTCTCGAGGAAGATGTTGTTGGTGGGTTGACATTTATCAAAGTGCATGCACCTGTACCAGTGTTACGTAGATATTGTGAAATATTGAAACTGCGAATGCCTATGAAAGAGGTAATGTGTTTAGAGTAGTAATTATAGGCATGTTAATTATATCTTCTTTCATAAAAACAAATTATGCTTTAAGAAGTGAAGAATTATGTAGCTTCATCTTTCGTCAAATAGTTAAAAAATTTAACACTAGAAGTATAATAAATGAGTGTATAGATAACAATTATTATAGTATTGTTTAATACATTTATTTGTTTCTAACATTGTTTATTGTTTATTAAGTTTGAATATTGTAATTATAACTGTATTACATTTTAGTATCCAATGACTGAACATATTCCTGAAAAAGGTTTTGATGTAATGGAGAAAATAAAAAAAATTATTGGTCGTATTATAAGACTGTTTATCACTATTGACCCTGGACCATTAACTCCAACCAAATACATTTTAACAGCTGAATATTCACGTGAAAAAAGTTATTTGTAAGATACCAAAAATAATTTACAAAAGTAATATGTTCTACAATATGAATATTTTATAATTTCTGTAATAGATTTAATGAAGATGATCCGGAATTCTTTTCGGCTGAGGTTCGAACATTAGTTATAGATTTTATTTTAAACAGAGTTAGCTGGGGAAAAGATCAAGCAGATGTCAATTGTGTTGGAATTCAATGTCTTTTAGATGCAGGTGTCTATAGAGCTGCTTATCCTTTACATGATGTAAGTATCCATAATTTTTATAATATTTTATTAACAATCAAAATCTGTTATTCTAATCATTTATACTATTAAATGATCATAATCTGACTGTTCATATTAGTCAATATTTAGAACATTAAATTGTATTTTTTTATAAGAAGAAAAAAAATTAAGATGTTATTAATTTATTTAAAACTCCAATTATCATTATTCTATTACCTATTCTAATTAATAACAATAAAACAATATTCTAAGATATTAATGACTATAAAGTACTGTAAAAAATTTTGTATTTCATTATTAATAAGCTGAGAAAAATGTTTTTAGTATTTACTACTCAGTGATCATTGATCACCAAGTTTAATTTAACAACTTATTGTGTCATCTTTCTCTAATATAAACCAAACTGTTAATGTGTAGTATAGAACTATCGGCGATAGATATTTAGTAGTATGGTACCCCTATAATATTTTAATGATAATTTGTAAACCTTGATTTTTAAGGTCAAACTAACTTTATTCAATCCTAAAATAAGTTCTTATATCCTTCCTATTTTTTTAAATGTTTGATTGTTTGATTTTACAAAATATTTACCAAAAAAATATATTTATTCATGTGTTATTATTTAAACTATATATTATATACGTTTTAATACTCTGTGTAACTTATTCTCAACTATTCATATGAAATACTAGAAATGTGTGTATATATATATATATATATATATATAATAAATAATATATATATATATATATATTATTTTATTATTAATTTTTTATTCTGTTTAATGTATAAATGTATCATTTCTGATTAATTATCATCTACCTTTTAATTTTTTATTAACTACATGGTTTCCTTTTTAAATTGTATTTGATATAACATAGCAAAGTAAATTCAAATTAAATTTTCTGTGCACCTTTAAACTAGATAATATATTTAATAAGAGTTTAATTTTAAGTTCATATAAATATCTTTAAATTAATATAAATAACAATTTATATCATTGATTTTTATTTTATCATCGAAAATAAATTATAATTAAAATAAAATATTCTTTGTATGCAATCTCTTAAATTTGTTATAACTGTTTTGATTTATGGATTTTGTAACATTATATATTGACCTTTAAATCTTCTATAGAGTAAATACAAATTGTATTCATATTTATGCTATGGCATGAAGTTTCAATACATTAAATATAATTATCTTAAAATTTGAAAGCAATAAATCATCAAATTCAAAAAAAATTATTTAAATAAATAATATAATATATAGCCATATGGCATGTAGTATGTATATTAAATATATTTTATCTAACACATTAACTTTAGTGTATTCTATAAATATGTTTCAAATAATTATATATGTTTGAACTAAAATTACTCAAGGCCTTCAAATAAAATTGTTTATCGTTTCTTCTTAAACTGACAAAAGTAATGTGTGAAATTAAAATTTTATCTTGTAAATAAGATTTCTATAAACTTTAAAATAAATTTATAACCGGAAAATTATATATGAGAACAAAATTATAATGTCTAATTACTAATAGTACCAATAACAAAATATTAATAAGGTAAAATATATATTTTTTTTTATCTTCTTACCAAAAAAAAAAATGTTTGAACTGTGACATTAGAGCTATAAGTTTTCATAAAAATACTTATTATTTACATTAGAATCAACCTTAGCCAACTGCTTAGTGGTGTATATTTTCTATTAATCGATGATGTATTTTAAGTTGAACATTTCATATAATAATTAGTAAACTAGAGCTAAAAATAACTTTTAGGGGACACATACTACAGAGAATTCACTTCGCCATCAGCTTTATGTTGAATGGGCTATGATGAGTAAATGGATTCGAAGACAACCTATTGATCAAATTAAAGAATACTTGGGTGTGAAGTATGCATTTTATTTCACATGGCTAGGGTTCTACACACACATGTTGATTCCAGCCGCTATTTTGGGTTTGATTGTATTTTTTTATGGGATCTTCACATTTCCTAATAATAGATTTAGGTAATTGGATTTAATTTGACATAAAAGTATTTATTAAATTAATTATTTAATTTTTTTTTTTTTAGTTCTGATATTTGTAATGCAACTGATGTAATAATGTGTCCATTGTGTGATCGGACATGTGATTACTGGGAACTATCAAACACTTGTTTTTATGCAAGATTAACATATTTATTTGACAACGATTTAACTGTGATATTTGCTTTTTTAATGTCTATATGGGGTTGGTTACTAAGTTTTCTAACTTTATGAATATTTGATTATTACAGAATTAAATTTTCTAGCTACTTTATTTCTTGAGCTGTGGAAGCGATATTCAGCTACTATTACACATCGTTGGGGATTGACAGGATTCACTTTAGAAGCTGAACACCCAAGACCTCAATATTTGGCTCGTTTATATGGAACTAATCATACAAAAGTGAATCTAGTTACTGGAAATATTGAACCAACAGTGCCATTATGGAAAAAAATTCCTGCAACATTATTCAGCATTTCCATTCTGTTACTATTAGTAAGATTTAATTCTAAGATATATATATATATATATATATAATATTTAAAGTGTAAATGTTTTTATAAAAATGTAATTATTGTTTTTAGATTATGATTGCCATTGCTGCTGTATTTGGTGTTGTGCTTTATCGCATGTCAGTTTTAGCATCGCTTAGTCTTACAAATCAATCTGATTGGATGAGTACTTATAGCAATATATTTATACCAACTACTGCTGCAATTATTAATTTAGTTTGCATTCAACTATTAAATTTTGTAAGTGTATTGATTTTTTAATTTGTATAATAAATTATTTATCAAATATCTAGTAAAGCATAATAAAAAAAAAAAAATAAATATGTTAATTTAATGTTAAAAAAATTTACAAAATTTTCATTATTATTACTTAATAATAAATAAGTAATTTTTATTATTGAATATGATTATAGTTTATATATTTTTTTAAAGACATTATTTTTTATAACCTTCATTGATAAGCTTTTTTCATGTATGTATTACCTAGGTGTATGACAAAGTTGCTATTTATTTGACTGAAATGGAATTACTCCGTACACAAACAGAATTTGATGAATCTTTAACAATAAAAATTTATCTCTTTCAATTTGTCAATTATTATACATCAATAATTTACATAGCTTTTTTGAAAGGTAAAAATGTTGGTTACCCTGCTAAATATTTACGTATTTTTGGTCTTCGACAAGAAGAAGTAAGTTATACATTATTTTATAGACTAATATCTAAAGTTTAAGATTAAAATTAATATTATAAAATTATTAATGAATATTGTAATTTTAGTGTAGTCCAGGTGGATGTCTAATGGAACTTAGTATCCAATTGTTCATTATAATGGTTGGACAACAAGCATTGAACACTGTTGTTGAAATGATAATTCCGTAAGAAATTTATTATAAATGTAACCTTTAAAATTTAGCAAAATCAATTCATTTCAAACAAATAACTTATTTTTTAGCGTGGGTTTAAATTGGTTCAATTCATTATCTGAAAACACTGGCCGCTTAGATAATCAGAAATCATCATCTGAAGAGAAAGATTTAGCAGCAGCTGTAAAGAAACCTTGGATTGAAGATTATAAACTTTTAGATTGGGGCCCGAGAGGATTATTCCCAGAATATTTGGAAATGGGTAAATTATTTTGATACATTTAACTAAAATAACTCCTGATTTGAGTGTTTTTTTTTATTTTATTTTTTATTCTAGTAATGCAATATGGTTTTGTCACTCTTTTTGTAACTGCATTTCCACTGGGTCCATTTTTTGCTCTATTAAATAATGTATTTGAAATGAGATTGGATGCTAAAAAATTTTTAAGATATTTCCGACGACCAATTCCTCATAGAGTCCCTAATATTGGAGTATGGTATCGGGTACTGGATATTTTAGGAAAATTAGCAGTTATTACTAATGTAAGTATACTACTATTTTAATTTAATTGTTTTTGACTAAAAGCTAAATAATATTTATAGGCATTCATAATAGCATTTTCTTCTAATTACATACCTCGAATGGTGTACATAAGTTTGGTAAGTGAAGATCATACAGACAAGGGTTTCTTAAATAACACTTTGGCTTATTTTGATACTAATGATTTTGAAGAGGGTATTGCTCCACATAATTCATCATTTAATGTTACTTATTGCCGGTAAATATTTATTATTTTTTCTAATTCAAGTGTGCATTAATTTTAATACTAACATGGAACAAACTTTATTATTTGTATAGTTATAAAGACTACAGAAATCCACCATGGTCACCACAGAAGTATGAAAGACCTACAATGTATTATGAAATACTTGTTGCACGTCTTACTTTCATAGTCATATTTCAAGTTAGTAATATTCATTTTGGTTTCGTTATGACTCTATATCATATTTTTCCTTTTCCAGAATATTGTTTCATTGGTAAAAGTTGCTGTTCAATGGTTGATACCAGATGTACCAAATGTGCTGAGTGACAGAATTAAACGAGAGTCATACCTTACTACACAGATGATCATTAAGAATGAAGCAAAAAAAGCAGCAGGCATAAAAGAAAAAATATCATAACGACGAAGGGACACAAAGCACATATCAAATACATTTGTTTATTTTATACATTATTTATTAATATAGTTTGATTTTTTTTTTTTGTTAATTTATACTAAAGTGTTTGTTACTTATATTTATTTTTATTATATTATTATTTATTATTATTATTATTATTATGATTATTATTTTTTTAAACAATATAACATTTAAACTCTGTTATGTTGGATTTTTTTTTTTTTTTGTATACGATTGTGTTTGTGTGTTCCTTCAAAATAAAAGATTCTTCAGAACTCAGGTAATTTAATCAAATTTTTATTTATCTTTCAGAAGTTGAACATTTGGATGGTATGTTGCATGGGGTCAATTCTCCACAGAGCTTATGAGATCAATTTCAAGAGCTTGTGATAATTTTATTTTTCCAAGACTTATATAATTGTGGTCATATGTTTTATTTTGTATAATTGCACTGGTGCTTTTTAGCATTTAACTGCATTTTGTTATATTTACAACTAAGTCATTATTGTGTTCATTGCTAACTGGTTTTAATAAATGCCTTTGCTCTTGCATTATTTGGTAATCATTAAAATCATTAATATATCATGCACAAAACGCTTGTATTATATACTAATTTTTTTTTAAGTAATATTTAATATATAATGTGTACAAATTTAAGATTAAAATGGTCAAAGATCTTTGTTATAAATATATATTTGTTTTTATATTCATTTTTTTATATGGAATTTTCAGGGATTTTTGTTTTGTTATAATTATTACCATTCTTGTTGTTAACAACTACTACTTAACTTCAATATGTTAGTCTTAGACTAATATACATTATTAGAATAATTTATAATATGTAATTGTTTTTAGTCAATAACCATAACGAATTAATGTTGCCTTCCATATTTTCTCATAGTTGTTATATAATAATTAATTTGTTTATTTTGGTATAGTTTATTATGTTTTTCTGTAATGTTTTGTGTCTGCTAATTTCTCTTTGAAACTATTTCAAACACTAGTTAAAATTTTACACTATTATTCTCAGATGTTTATTTAATTTTATTTGTGCAATAATTTTTTTTAATTAAATCCTGATATTTTACTTATAGTAACTGATATACCAATGTGATTTATTATTATTAAAATGTATTATAAACGTTAAACTTGAATGTGACAATAAATAATGTTTTCAACTCACTGGTACAATTATATATTACTAAATACAGAACATCTCCAATCATAAAATTCTCAAATTATTGGCTAACTTATACTCTGTGAACATACAATTTTCCTTGAGTTAATTTTCATTAAATAACAGAAAGTGGTCCTTTGTAAGTACCAAATTAACTGAAAGTTTAAGGAATTCTTCGAATTTCAAGATTTTTAAGACTTTAAAAGCTTTAAATTTTATCTTAAAAATTTATAAAATCTAGAAAAAATAAGAAACATATGAATGGTACGAGCTCACTTATTAAGTGTACTTATTATTTAATGTTGAAATTCGATTAAACTTTTCAGTATCTAAGTGGATTTTAGAAAAATTAAGAAAATAAGATACAGAAAAAATAATTTTTCTAATATTTAATTTATAACGGTTTTTCTATTTTTAGTATTTTTTTGGATTTTTTCACACAATTAGCTCATAATTATTATTGATTTTTCATTACTTTCATACATGGGTATATTTTAGGGCGGTGAAGGGGTGATCACTCTCCCCTGAATAAGTATTTAAGGAATTGATTATATGTGAGATACACATTTCAAATTTTTGTGTATCATTTTATAACGAAATCAAATTACGCCTGGCTGTGAATACTAAATTGGGCTTTTATAATTTTTGCAATTATTTTAAAAAGCTGTTTTTTCAATTTAAAACGCAGTTTAGAATTTAAAATTTGCATTCAAACATAATTTATTATCTCTTATCATATCTAAATCACAGTGGCAGTTTTAAGGGGGAGCTCGTCTTCCTTGGATTTTTTTTATGTCAACTGTTATGTTTTATATCTACGTCGTATTATTTTCTTAATATAACTCGTATATTCAAACTTTTTTTTTTAATATTTTTTTTGTTTTTTTTTCTCCGTTTTCTCAATTGATGAATTGTTATACATTTTTGGCTCCATTTATATATATATATATATATAATTTATTTATGTTTATGATATATAGTCAACTGTAGCTGTAATATTAACATAGTGAAATTTTGCATAAAAATTTAGTTTTATTTTTTCTGTTACAAAACATAATTTATTTTTTAACAAATATCTTAGAATAAATTACAGTTAATTTGAATAACATTAGTTAAAATTCGGGTCTCTTACTCTGAGACTTCAATTGTACGTCCGATGAATAACATTTCGGTGTTGATATATGTGTAGATGTTATGCCTTTTTAAGTATAAATTATTTGAAATAACGGTTTATATAATAGTTTGTAAATTATTGTAATAGGCAGTGCTCGAAATGGCAAAATTAAAGAAGGTAGACTCTATTTACTTAAAAAAAAATAACGTCCCCAAAACTGGCTGAGCGTTATGATTATAGCGTAATAATAGTAGGGGGACGCTAAAATTTCTGAAAATTAGTTGGGGTACTCCGTCCTCCTTCAAGTCGAACACTGGTAATAGGTAAATATTAAATGCCGTACCCGTCACGCCTTGCTGTGTCGTTTATTAAATTTAAATAAATACTGTCTGTACAACTATATTCAATTTATTTTGAATTATTATGTATTTTTATCGTATTGTACTTAGAGGAGAAGATAGTCACTCTTGGTAATTATTTTCAGTAAAATAAACTTGTTCACCGTCTTCTGGGTGCACACTCAGGTATATGAGAGTGAGGTTCCTTTTCGTTTTTTTGGTTTTTGTAACAAGAACGAAACAACAATTGCTCGTCCGGGCATTATCAGGTGTACTGAAACTTACCTTTTTTTTCGCGACAAAAGGTAGCCTATGTCCTTCTTCAAGGTCTATTATATCTCTGTACCAAATTTCATCAAAATCGGTTAATTAGTTCTGAAAAGCATAAGATATACAGATGAAAATTAATATATTTAGAGAGAGAGATTATTATCTAAAATGTACTCATACAAGGTATTATTTTTAAAATCAGTTTGTACATTTAAAATTTTATTAAAATTAAGATTTTCGTTGTATATACTATAACTTACTTATTACATATAATTTAAATTTTTATAAATTTATTCTCATTTTTATTACGTTATTATTTTCAAAGTCGATTTTTGTTTGTTAAATTATTATTTTTATTTAATTTGCTTTTTCTTTTTTAAAAAAAAAAAAAAAAAACTAGTTCGTTTAATGAATGTTTATATTGCCAACGATTCCCGCGATTATCAATGTAAGTAAACCAATCAAATAATATATTTGAGTATATGATAGATAGCAGGTAGTCCATGATCCGATAAATTCACGGATTCACGTGATTATACTAATTCATTTAGTCACGGAATATAATAATTCACAGATTCAAGAGAATAAAATTATAAATGCACGTGAAATTTTAAGCAACGGGTCATATAAATTAAACTTTAATTTCACGTGAAAACGGTAAAACGTGTATATGTGAAATAAGGAGCTTTAGTCTGTATAGATATAAAAATGTAAATTATGGTTATTTTTGAAAAAATGTTTAGCGAAATATGAATTGGGTCTTTTTAAATTTAATTTTAGAAATGTGTTTTTTATATTTCTTTTTAAAATTTCTGTTTGTTTTACCTATATAAAATGTATTACAAAGTATTGACTTAAATGTAATTGTAATATATTTGATTGAAATTTAGAATATAATAAAACAGAATTTAGAGGTTTTTTGGGTGTGAAGAGCAATGGTTCCTGCAAATTTGTTTGCGGTACAAACTGTCTGTAACTTTAAAAACTTGTCTCGATTCACGCCACTGTTGAGATTTATGCATGCGAAGTAAAACTTGTTTTACATTCCATTGTTTTCTGATAATCACCTACAATTACAGAACGATTGATTGTTGGAAACTATTCTTCGCTCTAACAAATTATATGTGAGTACGAAAAATTAATGTTGTGCCTTGTACGCAGTGGTCATTGACATTTATACTGATTCAATATTACTAATTTATATAGACAGCTATCAGAAAGCGAGTAGTTCTGTAGATATAAAATACATTTTATGTTATATTGTAGGTATAGCTAACACGTTTTAAGTTTTATTTAATAATTTAACTAAATTCTGTACAAATAACATTTTACGCGACAAGATCAGACATAACTATAAAAAAAAGTAAATAATTCATAATAATCAAAATCAAATGATGATGTATATTTCAGTCAAAATAGTCTGCTTTTACACTAAGATAATACTATAGTGCCGTGTTAAATTTATTTATGAAGATAAAAATTATTTATTACATTTCTGCAAAAAGATACAATTTTCCGTTTATCTAAAAATGCATTTGACTATAATTTATTTTGGTAGATTTTGTTTTATTTTTACTTAAAAAATGTTAAAATGTATAAAATTAACAAAAAAAAAAAAAATAAAATGCAAAATAATGTGTGCAAATTAAAAGTAATATATTTGATGATGTACAAAAATAAACACTCGGTAGAAGTCTTGAGTTCTTCGAATCATAAGAGGCATATATTTTAGATTGAGGAGAAGTACATACAGGGCCGGATTGTCCCGGAGAGTTACAGAGCAAAACTCGGTGGACCGCGACAATTTTTGACCTTTTAAGTTGTGAAAGGCCGCTAACAGAAAATATTAATAGTTTAAAGTTGAAGATTAGTGCACTTATTGAAATATACGATTAAAAGAATTTGGACAAGGACCGCCAGTTAGTAAGTGGGCCGGTAACATACAGAAAACTCGGTGGGCCGAATTTGTTCAATTCGGCCTTGAGTACACATCACAAATTTAGTACTGGAAGTGTGATTGAATTTTTATTTTTTATGAATTGTGCTTTTTTTTTCTTTTTCTTGTAACAACCGATAAATTGGAATTCACAAAAAATAACATTTTATATTATAGACCATTTTAGAATAAATCATACTTTTGTAATAACTCAAAAATACAAAAAGTAAAAGTAAAAATAATGGGAGGGAATGATATATAAATGGTGGATTTTTATGATGTATTAAGAGTTGTTACCTTCCTCTTTGTTTAAGGGAGGGCTCTCAGGGTTGTAAAGGTTCGAGAGTCGACTAGCGCAATTGTACAGTCTGCCAAGTCAAATAAAGCAGCACTTACTTGCTTTACCATAGACCTTCAGATATCGATGCGAGGTTGAAAAAAGGACAAATGCAGAATTTAATTGCACTGGAATTGGATACTCTTCAACACTCGTACGAACACAAGTCGAACGGATGAAAATCACAAGTCAGATAAATAACACGTATAAACTCTCTCATTAATCTTATGATCAGTGTGCATGCACAGACGACCAAAAAGAGAGTCTTTACTTCGTTGATCTTACGATCGATGTACATGCACTGACGACCTAAGATCAAGAGCCCTGGGAAGAGTTGTATGTCTCTTTTATATAGGGACGTATAGTGGCATGGGCCTTGGTCGGTCCTTTGAAGATTAGTCTTTATTGTTCGATTTGTGTTGTCCGCGCGGGTATCGAAGAAACCGTTATTTATTTAAAATGGTTTAAAATCACGTACATACGAATAGTATACATTATTATGAAATATTTGTGCAGTCTTTTACAATAGAATGATGCACATTATTACACTTTTTATTTAATAAATCATAATTATTTACAATATATGTTATTTATAATAGTAAAATGTTTTGGTAAATGTAATTTTTTCATTACTAATCGAATTATTAAATTTCAAACTAGCGAACAGTATATTGTATATAATAAATTATATACTATGCCCACTGACCATACAAGAAAATACAGTTGTTTGATTATTGAAATTATGTAACTTAAGTAATCATATAGCTTTTAAACATTATTAAAATTCTTACAGTAGCAGTTTTAAATTTATAACAAGTTCAATTTTTGATTAAATTACTGTTAAATTATTTCAATATAACAACAAACCTTTACAGAAATATATATTTTTACGAAAAGTATAGATCAATATTACTATACACACAAAGACCAATATGATTTGATATCAGATGATTACAGACAAAATATTTTGTTAAAGTAATCATTGAATAATGCAAAAATGTTATAGGTAACAATAAGGCTGGTACCGAATTGGTTCCCGAGTTCCAAACCCACATGCCGAATCGGTTCCCGTCTGAAAAAGGTATTTTATTATGTATAGCCGAAATGGTCCCGTTTGAAAAAGGTATTTTATTAGGTATAGCCGAATTGGTTCTCGTTTAGTTACGCACATTTTCCCTCTTAATTTTACTAGCTTAGGACTGACTGTCAACTTTAAAGTAGGCTTAGTTAATAATGTGCCTTGATGTGTGTTAAAAAAAAATGATAAAATATATACAATTTTAAATCGTTGATTTGGAAGTCAACTAGTCATCACTAAGGTGTACGAAATACTAATAATAAAATATAATAAATACAATTTAAAACCACTGATTTGCAAATTTGAAGCTAACTTTCTTTAAATATTCAATTCTCGAAATTTTCTCATTAATGTACACAGTTATATAATTTTCCAAGTATTTGTTATTTCTTTCCTGTTTGCTAGAAATTTGTTAGTCTCTAGTAATCTGTAGTCTATTATATTTCTATACTCTATCTTATCGATATAATAATTGTGTCTATATGTCATACATATAGCTTTTAAAATTTTGTTTTTACTCTCTATGCACTGCCCGCTGGATTTTAATTTTTAATAGTGCAGGTAAATTGTGTTAAAAAATAAAATTGTTACTATTTTACCTGTACACAAACGGGAACCAATTCGGCTACTCCCAACAATAAAAAGGCATTGATGGTAACTGAGAACATTTTTATGAGGCAAAAATAATTAAAAATAATTTATGAATATACTAATTTATATATATATATATATAAAAAAAATGTTTTTAAATACATATGTAAATATTATGTATCAAATTGTGATTACATTATTATAATTTTTCTGGTTTTTCATTGATTCTTATCGCATTGTAAATAATTTAATAATATAATATTGATATTTTGATTAAACTGAAATTTTGAAGTTTAAGATTTATATCTAACTGGGTATTTTAAAATAGGTTAAAGTCAATTTTTTTTAATCCAGTTAATCACATTTAATAATTTTATATAATTATTTGTATATATATATATATATAATGATTTTTATTATTTAGCAGTTGAGAAATAAAAAATATATTTACTATTTGACGTATATCCGAGAATAATTTAAAAATCGAAATTATATTATGAAAATGATAACATATTGAATCTTCATGACAATTTGAATCAAAATGTTTAACGGTCTCGTGAATTATACAGATACATTATACATTAAAAACGAGACACAATTTCTTGCGTGACTGAAGAAATTTAAAATATGATTCTGTTGCATAAATATATTATATAGCTTCGGGAAACATCGATATATGAAAATATGAATTCTAGTATATTTATATTATTTATTTATTATATTATTATTTAAAATAAAATTGAAAATTATTTGTACAAGCAAGTTTTTTGAAATATATCTACATTAAAAATATTGTAATTTATAATATTTTGTTTCCATCTTTACATATAGTTGTCAATAAATAATTTCTTGGTTGATTAATTACTTGAAATATTTTGCTACGACTTAACCCGAGAGCGGTTTTTTGTTTGATAAAAGTAAAATCAGAAATAATTATATTATTATTGATGATAACTTTTTATTTTTAATTTATTCTCGAGGTAGAGTAAGTTTGGTTGCATTCGTATATTATAGTATGGATTTATACTTTATACCATTGCGTGTATAATAAACACACGATTTCAAATTATAATCAGCTTAGTAAATTTACAATAACTTACAAATATACAAAATATATAGTTGATGTTGTACATTGATATGTTAAAGCGAGAACGTGGAATTATTTATAATCGTCGTGTTGAAAACGTTTGTATCGAGTTATTATGAACAGTGATTTAATCAGCGACTTATTGAAACAGTTTCAATGTCATTAAAATCATTTATGCAATTCTTTGTATAATAATATAATGTAAATTTTTTTTTGTTTTCAATTTTAATCGAACACGTATACCACATTTTATATTTTTACATACGAGTACTACACATGGTTCTTAGTGTATTTACATGTAAATACAGTGTTAGAAACCACATATACTATACCATCTGCGGAGTATTTACTTTTTATTGGCCACGAGATAATGGAATTCTTATTATGTTCGAATCGAAAACGTCAATACACAAATCGTAGAATATGGCTCATTCGAAATGTATAAATAGATTTCGGCTTAAGGAAATATTTTTATGTATAAGGCGTGTGCCAAAATATGAAATTCATTTTTGATCAAATCGAACATTAAAATTATGCCAAACAACGAAAATAATACCACGACGATGAGATTAGCGTATACAATACGAATTTTCGGTATGTTTATCGTTTGAAGTATACATTTTTTTTTGTGAATATTTAATCTGTAGGTACTAACATTGTGGTTTACAAAATAATTACAATCACAAAATAAAATAATATTTTTACTGTTTTATTTTTTACTACAGGCACATTACTTTAAAAACTGAAACAATTAAAATTAAACATCTAAAAAGAAACACTTATAATTTTAGATAGTAAATATACTTTACAATTAAAAAATAATAATTATAGTTCATTTACATAATCTTCATTCTTCATAAGGATGGAAGATAAAAATTTAGTTTTGGCCTGAGCAGTTTTATGAAAACTGCAAACCAATGCTACTAATATTATACTTTTATAATACAAGTATAATACCACTATTTGGGACAAGAAATGTAAAGCTTTTTAATTGATAATTGATAATTGATAATTTATTCTTACATTTTTTTTTTTTTTGATACGGTAATACGAGTATAATATGAATGATTATCACGTGATACATATTTGTAAACATTCATATATATCGACATATATTCACATATTTCGACTGCGTAGGTTTAAATTTGTTTTAATTTACACATTTTGAAAGTAATATTATATAATGAATAAAGTATGTGTGCACGGACGGACATTATTTGAAGATTTTCTTTGGACTCGGGTTGGGAAAGACTTGTAATTTGCGTGTACTCTTCAGTATTTATTGGATACCATTTTAAGTGTAAATGTATAAACATCGGTTTATTGTCGGTAAAGTATACCTATTATACTGCGATATAGTGTTATGCGTCAATAATTCTTGTACCTAGATATCACGAATTTCCAAAACGATTTGTAAAGAATAACAACGGTATTATTTTGGAAAAAACACGAATCACTTGAATGGAATGCACGTAACTCTGTGACATTTGCAGCTTAATATAGAATAATATGAATAATTGAACTCCCTACGATATTTCACGCACTGTCTTCAGAAGTGTAAGGAAATACTTGTACATTATTTAGGTATTATTTTCGAACGTTATTACGATACTATAATGTACATATGTATCATATGTATCATATATCGTACATGCATTCCTATTGCAGTTTACTTATAGTCGAAAAAAGGCATTACATAATATTAAGATAGAAAAATTAAGATGATGGCTGGTGACAATATACAACGTAGACCGTGGGTTGAAGATTTACCCACGGAAAAATCTCATACCCATATCATAATACAGGGAATATTTCTAAAAGTATAATTATTATTTAAAATGGTTTACCCACGAATTACTGCAGTTAGTGGCTTATATTTATCAATATTAGTATATAAGAGCTTTGGCCTCTGGAAAAACTATTCATCACATATCTTTACTATCAGTGGCGGTTTTTTGATTTTTTTCTGGGGAGGGGTCCTTTAACATTATCTTTTATTATATACAAATAAAGTTTAACCCATTAATGGGTTAACTGTGGTAACTGGTAGGAAAAAAAATAATGTACTTAATTATACTTATTAATTTTCGGTGAATGATGACCGAAAGTTTTAAAATCGCTGACTGGCCTGGGTGAAAATAATTAATATTAAAAAACATTAAAAATTACATTCGCAATACAAAATAATTTACATTGATTAAAATTAAAATCAACTACTTATTATTATGAGTCAAATAATATGGATAAAAATTTTGTAAATTAAAAAGAAAAACAATTTAAAATTGCTATTATAAATTTTACTAACCTGAATTTTAAATACTTTTCAAGTTTGATTCAAATTGAACGGTAATCTTAGTCCATAGATTAAAAGAATAATTGTAAATAAACTCGTAAATAGTAATTGGTAACTTATACAAGATTACAAGCTTACAATTTATTCGTTCAACGGGCGCGTCATGGTCGGTTGAAAAGTGAAAAGTGATTGTAAGTGTATCGCTGCGTTAATCCGCTAATGTGCATTCTTCGTACGGCCGAACGCTATCACAAATAATAGATATCGTAAACGTCACAATTTCAGAGAAATATAAATACCTAAATAGCTGTAGCAAACATTCATATATACGGAATAATAATGATGAAATCACCGGTGTACACCCGCATATAAATAGCTAGTCAAAACCCGAACGCCATGAACGAAAAATGTATCACAGCCTAAATTTGTGTTCTGGGGGTCCAGACCCCCTGGACCCCCTCCCTCGTAAAACCGCCACTGTTTACTATTATCTTGATATATATTCTATTATATTCGTATTTGCGATTGGTCGCGTACGATCAATATTGTGGAACAAAATAGCGTTCGTATATTCGATGTTTTTATACATAGATTAGCAGTATTGATAATAGAATAAACTATATTCCATAATCAATGAAATATTGGAAGTATTAGAAACGGAAAAAAAAAATTGCACTCATCCATCTCCAGTTTACATAATAATAATAATAATAATAGGAAGTAATAATAATAATAATAATAATAATAATAATAATAATGATAATGGCTAATAATGATTTATCGTTTCGTTTTACCGCGTTAAATACAAGTTTCGATTTCATTACAGTGTGGGCTCGGCGCGGTTTGAGCCTCGTAGCTATTCGAGTTCTTGGACGCGGCCTGTTTCGAACCCACGGTAACTCTGAGCAGCGTTTTGTAGCACTGCGCGTTCCCGTTGGCCGGCGAGATCATCACCAGCACGTCGGCCGCGGACGACGAACGTTCGTCGTCTTGGGTCGCGGCGTTGGCGCTGGCGGTGGCGGTGATGGTGGGCACGGGGCCGGCGGTCGAGTAATCCTCCTGCTGCAGGTGTCGCGTGGACCTGTGCACCGACTTTCGGAACTCCGTGGTGCTGGTCATCGTGTTCAGCGGCACGGTCGTGTCCCGGAAGCTGGACTGCAGGTCCCGCGACATCCGGTTCCTGCGCTGTCCCGAGTACCCGCACAGCGTCTCCCGGAACGCCCGCCGGTACTTCATCGACATCAGGTTGTACAGGATCGGGTTGACCGTAGACGAGAAGTAGTAGAAGCAGCCCGCGATCGTGTACAGTAGCTCGTTCACCTGCGGGTAGTACGGAGCGTCCTTGGCGTACAGGTAGAGCAGCCGCTGCGCGTGGAACGGGGCCCAGCACAGGAAGAACGCTATGACGACGGCCGCTGGAAATCATAACGGTATCCGTGTAATGTATATGGCGAATATGTTCCCGCAACAGGCGCGATCACGGATTGCTTTTATACTATGCATTCGTGACGGTGCAACTGAATTGGCTCAAGGAACTAGGTGCCCATATCGGTGGTTTTACCTTTTGATTGGCTCCCGGAAATTCACTATTGAATCGGTTCTTATGTGAATTTTTTTACATACTCATTGGTTACCAAAATATCGGTACATTGTTTGAGGATGCTTAATAGTGTACAATAACGTTTAGCAACATTTTACACGGTCGTATAGTCAAAAGAGAAAAATCTTCTTATAAAAATCAGTCTTGCACTCGCCATCTACCAGTGCACTGACAATAAAACTCAAAAGTCATTATGAAATATGATACAAAAATCGATATAACAGCATTTGTGTATCATGTATATATATATATCTCACAATGTCGGTGTGTTTGATATTAAGAATTACGTATCGTGGAAAACGTGTTAGATGCTACTTTACTGGATTAAGATAGTACCAAAATACGATATTTATTTTCATTAGTCACAAAATGTTGACTCGAAAAGTTAAACTTAAACTTTCGCCGTTTGTTTATGTAATAATTTTGAAAACCCTTAGTTAAAAATGTTAAATTCCTGTAATTAGGAGCTAAATCAACTACATGGTTTTTGGGACTCAATTCGACGGTTGTATACGAATCACTTGATTCTGGGAGCCAATTCATATGCGCCCATACGTGACTTCCGACACGGAAAACATACTTTGAAATTGTTATTATACTATGCATATTCCTTACACGAGTAGTTAAGTAGTTATAAGTTATATACTATATATGTGTTATAACTTATAACCAATACAAATTTCTTAAATTTCTTTCTCGCACTTAAGGCTGACAACTTGAAATGAGCATAGTTGATGATATGGTGGGGTCATTAAAATATGTTTATATGTATTTGTGTTTCATAAGATAAAATAAAAAATATATATCTCGTATCTAGTCTAATTTTTAATCGAATATAGAATATTAAATTTTAATATTGAGTACATGCATTAAATAATAATAAAACGGTTTTATCGGTTTGTTCAATTCAGAAAGTAATGTATTTCATTTTATCATCACGTAGGAAATTGCATATTTGTAATCTTATTCGCATAAAAATTTATGTACCTACCGATATATTTTTGATTGTCGAAATTTACGTACCAGTTATTTAAAAGTTAATTCGTTTCGGAATCAAACCTCTATAATCCATCAGTATTGTTATAATTATTAGGGTGAGTATTAACGGCATAGCAATTATATAATACCATGTTATATTTATATTTTTCTCTATTTTTTCAAATATTTCTATTGTGTAAACATTTTTATTATCAGTAAGTCGTATTTTACAATCGTTATAATTTTTGGAATTTATTATACATATAACAGTTGCTCTTACATTACTATTTTAATGCCTGCTTAACAACTTTCTGGAATCCAGGTCTGCATGTGTCATTGAGAGTAATAATACACCCACCATTTATATCATTCCACAACTTCAGTCCCAAAAGTGTACTGTTTACTTATAAGTGTTGTCACCTTTCTAATTATTTTCCCATGTTTCTTTTATCCACAACGACGTTTATTTTTTTCAAGAATTTATCCTATTCAATTTTATTTTCCATTTCGTTCCTTCAAATCCATCTCTTTGTACTTTTTTGTACTTTTTCAACACATTCGCTACGTCAAAGAATGTATGTTAGTACGTTCGATGTGGTATACAATTTATGATAATACACGTTACACTTTTTTTTAAATTTTTTTTTTTTTGATTATCAATTCATAAAAACATATTATTGTGCTTGAAGAATAATCGAAATGCATTTTTTTTTTTTTTTTGATTAATTTTAATATATTATTTAGTATCGGATATAACCAATATACGCACTTGGGAATAAATTTGTTGATAAAAACATTACTGATAATGGCTATTGGCAATATCCGATAAACTATAATTATCAACAAAAACTTAAGACTTATAATATAAGTTCCACATAATATTTGTTTATTTATAGAATATTATATTTTATTTGGTTATTTATAAAACAAAAAAATTAAAGTTTTCATTGATGGTAGTTATAAATTACTCGAAATTATTCGATAAAAAAATATGCCGGCAACAGCTGCTGATGTATAAGTGAATTGGATGTACCTACACAAAAAGTATATTTTATGGTTATGGATCTATAAAAATAGACATTTTCTCGCAACTCTTCGATGTTTTAGAGTACATTTAATTAAATAGACTTACAAATGTATTTATGATTGATATTTTTAGCTACATGAAAATTATTCAAAAAATATAAATTGGTAATCGTATATTTCTCTTTAGAAAACAATAAGGATTAAATAATTGTTTACAATAATATTGTGTTTGTGTGTGTGTGTGTGTGTGCATGTGCGTATATATAATTACCTAGCATCCTCACTATTGACCTTTTAGATTGGATCTGTTTGGTTTCTCCGTGCACGGCACCTTGCATCTGTTTGCCCAAAGAGTGTCTGGAACTTTGTCTAATTTGCAGTCCAATAAGCACATACAGTATTATGATTATCACCATCGGGACGAGAAAGAATAACAGTGAACTCAGCTCGTATATAGGCACTCCCGTCGGTACGTTCTTATCCAGCATCGCGCAAAATGCGCTCTCGTACAACGGATATCCTGACCCTTGAATATTATACACAACTTCATTAATAATAATTATCTTCAGTAAAGTTACGTATATACGAGTTATATTATTTATACAAGTATAAAACGATGCTTTATATACACATAATTCACCGGGAGATCATCGCTTTCGTTTTAATTAAATAATAGTATAAAACAGTTTATAACTAACACAAAAACGATTTTTTTTTTTCATGAAAATGAAGCTATCCCCAATAACACAATAATAATCGTTAATTATTTTTGTAGAATGAAATACAAACATTGTATCATGCACGCGTGTTTCAAATATATATATATGTTACCTGTCTCAATCAATTAACTAAATACACTTGTATAATTAAAGCTGTGTATTAACATTAAATGAGTTAAAAAGTTAAATTTAAGGTACTTAAAGGGATAATTATTTTTTAAATATAACTTCTAACATAATGAGTGAAATTTTTATACAAGTATCATGATTTGCAGTTACAAATTAGTTAACTAATTTGGTACTCATTTATAGTTTTAATTTTTTAATTTAATTCCAGAGAATGAAGAATTTTTTTTGCTATTGATATCTTTTTTCACAATTTATAAATAAATTTCATAGTAAGTGTAATTGATGTAATTTTTATAGGGTCTTTGAAGAAGTTTTGAGTAACCCATTGGCGGTACTCTGAACTGAGATCGAAGAATAAAAATATATTTATGGAAGAAATAATATTCTTGAATTTCAATATGGATCAAAATAACGTACATAAATATAGATTTTTATAAATATCATAATATTAATGCGATAGAAAAAAGTAACTTTTTTTCAACCAAATTATACTTAATCATTTATTTTCTTCTATTTGACTCGTAACTTTTACAATTTAATACAAAAAGAGAATGACATTTTAATTTTTCACCAACATTTCTTTAGATTGACAATTATTTAACTTTATGAGTTAAAAAAAATAAGTATACATAGTAGGTATATGAGTATATATTATATTGAATATGTTTGATATAAAAATATGGTTAATGATTGCGATTGAATGTTGCGTAGTATGTACCTGGTGGGAAATCTACGTAATCGACCGTGGTGAACATGGCGAACGGTAGAGCGGCCAAAAATGAAAAGACCCATACGACTGCGATAATGCGGACGGCTCTTTTTAACCCGGACATGGCGTACGAGTGTAGAGGATGACAAATGGCTAAATACCTTTCCATTGAAAAAGCCACGATGGTCAACACCGACGTATACGAAGTCCTGCCGGATGAACATATTATATAATTATATAAGGCATTACTTATTATATTATTATTGTTAATATTATACATCCACAGGTGCGTGAATTGAGCGAATTACTATACAGGATTCGTTGATGGTTCGTTGTAGTAAGATATAACACGTGCTTGTTAGTAGGTTAGCATAACAGTGTTTGCAATTAATTGGAAGGTATACTTACATTTCTGAAACTAAAGCACGGAATTTACAAAGCACTTCACCCAAAGGCCACGGGTACTGTTGCCAATATACGCTGAGATCATTTGGTAATCCTGAAAAAAGGAAATTTAATTTAATTCGTCAGTCAAAGAATGTAGACAGTTATTAAAACGCTATTATAATGATTGAATCGACGAGTTTTTCTACGATAATGCATTTCTAGGAATATATAACTAGTTATAATCAGTGGATTATTGCAAATTTGCAGCTGTGAAACGTATTGTAAGTTTTGAATAGTGGAATCATGGGACAACGCAAATTTTAATTTCATTTTTTTTACGTAAAACCATGAACTGTAATTTAATATTTACATAATTAATCCAAAATTTTAGATCCATTCAAACATTTTTACATAAAATATTTCATATTTTAATAATTATAATTATCTGCAATGATGAATAATTATTACTGTATGCGCTAAAATTATAACGGTATAAGTTCACGGAATTAAATTATTCCAATGCTATGACTATTATGATAAACAGAAGTCAATAATTTTCACAAAGATATAGATATGTTAAAACCAAAAAATTAAATATTAAATTCGTTTTAAGATTGGTGCATAAATCGCAATCGTAATCGAATATTTTTAAATTTTATCCTGTCGGAAATCGGCATTATTATATTTATCCATATATGTTTAAAAATGTTAGTAAACTCATTCTCTGACTTAAAATGATCTATTACATAGGTATACGAATGAGTAAATCATAGGCGTGCGCAGACTTTATTCGCAGGTTATGCAATAAGAAAAATAGGGCCCCTCACAAATAAATTTTCTAATCTTTCCTTAATTTATTTGCATTTTCTTTTAACGCATATAAGATTCAATTTACAATCTAAGTTTTTGCATATATACTACTTAGCTTCTTTGCTTCCCTCAGAATCTAAAATCACACATAGTTTTACAGTAGAATATTGAACAATGCACTGTAGAAATAAGTAGTTTGAAATTTGATTTATATTTATTAAAAAAAAAATTTATTATTTATTTAAGATCAAGTATGTACTTTTTTTTTTTTATTATTATTAGTTAAGCATCAACTACATAGGTTATTAGCTTGCGGGTGTTAATTTTTACATTAAATAATTATATGTTGTTGTACAATTCAATTTTTTTTAAGAATAAAATTACGCTATGAAAGTTTGAAAATGGACCAATTACTTCGTACAGGTTGTCTGGGATGTTGAAATCTTTTCTAGCTTCGTTGAAGTCTGGGCAGTGGATAATGATATGTTTGATGGAGTAGTTTGTATTGCATGTTGGGCATAGAGGTGGATTTGTCTTTGTCATAAGATGTCCGTGTGTGAGTTTCGTGTGACCGATTCTGAGTCGATTAAGAATTACTTCATTTTTTCTGTTTAGATTAGTGTATTTCGGCCAGAGTTCGACAGAGTGCTTAATTTCTCTTAATTTACTTTCCGTGGTCATGTGCCACTGTGAGTTCCACAGATCAATACAGTATTTGTTTATATTTCTTTTTATATCTACGAGTGAGGAAAAAGGAATAATTTCACTGTCAGGACTATTGACTGCATTTCTAGCCGCTTCGTCTGCCATTTCATTTCCCTTTATGTTACAGTGACCTGGGGTCCATATAAATCTGATTTCTTTGTTTGATTTGGAAAGAAGGTTGCTGATTGAAAGAGCCAATGGTTCTGATAAGGTTTTGGATTGTAGATTTGTTAAGGCACTAAGTGAGTCAGAACATATGTCGATTTTAGTATTATTGATATCTAGGGCTAATTGAATTCCTTTCAATAGTGCTAGGTATTCAGCTGAATAAATACTGCTGAATTTATTGAGTTTGTACTGTTCAGTTACATTGTAAGTCCTATGCCCATTTCGGTTTTAGATGCATCAGTATAGATCTGAGAGCTGGTATTTGAAGTGTGTATTAGTTCATTAAATAGGTTCTTATAAATAGTATTTGGTGTTTCTTTTTTAAGGTGTTCAGTTAAGCTTGTATCAACTAGGTAATTTGGTTGTTTCCTGGTGGGAATCAGACTGCTTTCGCGTTGACATATTTCATTAATTTCAATGTTGATATCCATCATCTCTTTTTTTAGCCTTAAACCTAATGGTTTTCTTAGTTTAGAATTGTGTACATATATATTTGAAAAGCGTTTTTTGTTTAAAAAGTGAATGGTTGAATTTTCCGGTGAAGATAACACGCGAGCTATATAATTAAGTGATAATTTAGTTCTTCGGTATTGAAGTGAGGGTTCACCAGTCAAGGATAACAAACTAACAATCAGGCTGCTCTTGAATGCTCCGATTGAAAATCTAAGTCCGGCATTGTGAATTGTATCTACAATTTGTAAGAGCTTTGATTCTGAGTTTCCATAACAAATTGAACCATAATCGAGTTTGGATCTTACAATCTGTATACATTTAATAATATGGTTCCTTCAGCGCCCCATTCACAATGACTTAATAATTTGATGACATTAAGGCTTTTGTATGAATTTTTTTTGAGTGACATAATGTGGGATTTCCAAGAAAGCTTTTTGTCGAAAGTGAGACTAAGTATTGAAATATCTTCAACAAAGGGTAAACGAGATTTACCAAGAAAGAGTTTTGGTTTCGTTAATTTTCTTTTATTTGAAAATAAAATACATTTTGTCTTTTGAGGTGAAAAAATAAAACCGACTTTGAAGCACTATTCAAACAGGTCATTGAGGCATTTTTGAAGTGTTCTGGTCATTACAGAAATTTGCGTACCATGAATATATATGTAAGTGTCGTCTGAAAAAATGATCGATTTTGCAGGATTTGTGATGATGTTGGGCAGGTTGTTAATTGCTGTTTGAAATAAAAAAATGCTAAATGGAGAACCTTGAGGCACTCCGTTTTATAACATAAATGTATTCGATGTTTGATCTCTAATTTTGATTTGAAAGGATCATTGGTTTAGGAAGTTGGTTAGAAAGATTAGCATGTTTCCATGTATGTTCCAATTCTTAAGTAACTTGATTACTCTATGTCACCAAACAGTGTCGTATGCCTTTTGTAAATCGAGACTTATTAGTATCATTGATTGCTTATTAGCAAAGGTTTCTAAGACTTCGGTTTCAATTTTTACGTGGCAGTCGGTGGTTGAGTGGTTTCTTCTAAAACCATGTTGACATGGTGAGAGGAGTTTATGATGAGTTACGTACCAACTTAGTCGGTTGTAGATGATTTTTTTCTAATAACTTGCTCATGCTATAGAGTACCGATATTGGTCGATATCCTGTAGGTTTGAAGCTGTTTTGATTATTTTTTGGTATGGGTGTGATAATTGCATTTTTCCATTTAATCGGGATTAAGCCTGTTTCCCAAATTAGGTTGTAGAGACGTAGTAGAAGAATGTTGCCACTAGAAGGTAGGTTTTGTAAGAATATGAATGGAATTTTATCGGATCCACAACTTTTGCTTTTATTTCCACGAAGACATAATTAAATTTCAAGCATGGTAATTGGTTCATTTAATCTGTCACCTTGGCCAATATTAGGTAAAAGATTAGTAGTGGTATCAATTTCATTTTTTTTCTTGTTTAAACTTGAGAAAGTCGTAGGTTAAAGTAAAGTCGCTATAAAAATATTTGTATAAAAATATTCGCCGATTGATTGGGCTATTTCCTGAAGTTCAATAAGTATAGAATCTTCTGATAAAATGGTTTTTATTTGAGACGTGGGAATGCCTTTAATGACTTTAATTTTTTTCCAAATATTGATTGTCGACTCATTGCTGTTAAGGTCTGTCGTAAATTTTATCCAAGATTTTTTTTTTCGTTTTTTATTAAATACCAGACTAATGCTTTGTATTTTTTGAATTCGATAAAATAATTGAAATCATTTATGCGTTTGAATTTATTGAAGTTAGTTTTTTTGTTCCTTATAGTACGTTTGACGGTTTTATTCTACCATGGTACTGGTGGTCGTTTCCCAGAGTATTTATTTTGTTCAAAAATATTGGATGCCGTGTTATAAATTAAAATACTCAGTTCCTCCATAGTATCCTCCACGTCATTATTGTTTAAAAAGGAAAGGGAATGATTAATTATATTTTTTTCTATTTCTGCTTGGTAGGTATCCCAGTTGGCATTTTTCAGTTTCCATTTAAGACTACGAGTGTGTTTTTCGCAAGGGTTGGTATACTTTAAGGTAAGTTTAATTGGAAAATGGTCGCTACTAGAGAGCTCAGGCATTGTGTTCCATTCAAAATGAGGTGTAATAGCTGACGAAGAAAGAGAGAGATAAATTGCCGAGAGGTTTCCTGTACTAGCGCTTATTCTCGTTGCTTGACCATTATTAAGAATATTAATGTTGTTGTTATCAAGTATTTTTTCTATAATTCTTCCTCTTTGATCAATGTCGTTACAGCCCCACAAGATATTGTGACTGTTGAAGTCACACAGAATTATAAAAGGCGTAGGTAGTTGGTCGATAATGTTTTGGATATCAGTGTAACTGAGTATCTGCGAGTTGGGTATGTACAAATTGCAAATAGTTAATTTATATTTGACAGAAATTCTTACTGCTACTGCTTCTAGGTTTGTGATAAGGGTGATTTATTTGGAGGGATATTGTGTATTGATAAAGGTAGCCACACCTCCACTAGCCCTAATATGGTTGGTTCTGTTTTTGAAAAAATTTACATAATTTTTTAAAGAACCTGATTTGTTGTTGATGAAGTTGGTTTCTTGTATACATAAAGCTACTGGAGAGAACCTGTTGATTAATAGCTTTATTTCATCGATTTTTGAGTAGAATCCATTAGGATTCCATTGGATGATATGAAAGATGTTGTTGTTCATGATAGGTTAGAGTAATTTATTTGGTATATGTTGTCTGTATAGGGTTGATGGTTTAATTGAAGGTTTCATCATCATCCTCGTCAGGATCTGCGTTCTGACAGGCATTGGAGTAATGAATTATTTTTTTCAATGCATTGGATAATCTTGTTAGACGATTTTTAGCGCTTTTAACTGTTAAATTTGGGTAAATTGTTGAAATAATTTCTAAAATATCATCTGGACTACTAGCGTATTTGTTACATAAATTTTTG